TAAAATGTTTTTGAGTATTTAAGTTATTCCACATACTTCAAATGCTAAAAAACATTTGAAATTTCCTTGACATTTTATGCCCAGTTCTTCACGGATCATTTGGTGTCACCCATTGTTTTACAATAACTTACGTATGTTGCTGAAGTACACATGAGTCTCAGATATTAACTCAACTTGCCATATGGAAGTCAAGCCTTTATACGTTAAAGTGTTGATAATTGTGGACTGAAAGCCATAATCATCAGAATCACAACAAACAAAGGCATGGCACATGTCACTTTGCACCCAGTCTATATCATTTATACCCATCCATCCATCCATTTTCTTCCCCTTAATCCATTTCTGGGTCAGGGGGGTGGCAGTCAAAGCTGCACCCAGTACACAGAGCACCAGCCCCTCACTGATCCTCCTGCAGGTGGTGAGTCCACAGGAGCTGAGATCTTTCAGTGGGAGCTTCAGGCAAGTTAAGTGTCTTGCCCAAGGACACAACGACAGCAATCATCTGTGGGAGTTGTGAAGTGGGTCTTGTGGTGGGCTCGAACCCACAACCTTCAGGCTCAAAGGCCAATGCTCTACCAACTGAGCCACTGTCGCCCCATTTATACCATCATTTATACCATTGTTTCATAATTTACGTTGAATTACAGAAATGAATAAACTTTTGAACAACATTCTGATCTTCACCAGTATGTGTGTGGCCTTTTGTTGGGATTGCCCATCAACCGTAGCGAGCCGAACAAAAAAAAAAAGTATTGTACTTAATAATTATTGACTGGACAGACCCTAAACACATGTCAAAAGACGTTTGCAACTAAGAAAGCAGAATGTGGGATTATAACTGTATATTGCATATTTTACAATACAATACAATACAATTCATTCTTGTAAAACCCTAAATCACAACAGCAATCATCTCAGAGGACTTAACAAAACCATTGAAATCACAAACGCAAATCAGAGAATCAACAGTAAAGACACAAAAATACACAAATGTATTGGTCCATATTGGTTTTACATCTTCATTTCATTGCTACATCTATTTGCAGTGCTACCTCAATAGTTTTGTTTGTAATTTAGGTTTCTGCTTCCCATAATTTAAACAAAGTTGCCAAAGTAACAATAACTTGTAGTAAACAGAGCTCATAAAATTCTAGATGGAAAAATTTCACAAAATCAATAATTCCTACAAAATGTGTGAAATCCGTGTATGATGAAATTCTGGAACCCACACTTGTTTCCAAAACACGAGTGCAGTAATATGGCACAATGACAGAAGGGATTCAACACCGTTTTTTGCGCACAGTTAATGGTTGTGATTGGCACGGCTTCTTCCATAAAGGTCATCGCGGATCAGTGAAGCAGGTATGTTGGAAGTGGAATGCATGACCCCACATTTAGCCTCATTTCCAGTGGACTTGATCGTCAGGGCTGCCAACCACCCCCTCCTCGGCACAATGGAACGGTCCAATCAGCCTCAAAAGCCGTCATCTTCAGTGGAGACATCATCAAATCATATGAGTATTTAGATTGTGAGTGCAGTCAACTTGGTCGTGTTAGCCCCCTTTGCTTTTTTGGAATCTACACCAGTGTGTTTGTCTATTTGTTTAATAATAGAATTTTGGGCCAAGTCTTTTGTTTTATTTAAAGTTTTTGGAGTATTTGGATACTCTTTTGGAATTTACACCAGACCTTGAATGATTTTTCCGTAGTTTGTATTTATTCATTTGCATATTATTTGAATTTTGACTCTAAATGTCTAAATTTCTCTTAATTGAAAAGGAATCTGTTTGGAGTGCAAACAAATGACTAAGATCCATGTGACACTGAGGCCCTGTAGTTTTTTTTTAGTTTTTTTAAATAGTGACATGATGTGTACACAGACAAATCACTATTCCATTTCATTTGGAAGGGTACCGGCTCTTTTTAGGGAACTAGAGCTTCTCAAGAGATGTCTCACACAAGCAGCTAATCTATTCATTGTCCAAGCCAAATGCAAACACAAATTTATCTCATGAGACCCTGCCCCATCCCCATCTCTCCGACATGTCTACAGGTCAATCACATTTTTTTCCCATTACCAAATTTTCCAACAACCCATTAGCCAAACAAAGCACATCCATCACAACAACGCCAATAAGTGAACATTGAAGATTAGCAGTGACGCTGTCTGCTGCCATATTCCCAGCTCCGCTAGCATCTCCCAGAGCACATGTACGAGTGCAACTGATCCCTTTAGCCCGCTGCTTAATCCCACTCTCCCTTAGCCACTTCATAATGATCTCCCTGTGAAAGGTAAATCAATTATATAACGACCACAAAAGCGGCGTTTTGTCATAAAATGGTAATTAGTCTGGGTCCTGACCTCCCTCCTGGCACCTCTGCTCCCCCAGCTGAGCTCCACGGCACGCTTCCCCAACGCCCCGCGCCTCTACACGGCCTTTTGTCTTCATTCTGTGCTCGCCAGTAGGAAAGGGTTGGAGGGGGGAGGGGGGGTGTGTATGTGGTTGTGGCTGAATCTTTCTTCACTCTCTCCCTCTCTCTACGTTTATCAATCATAGCGTTGGCTCCAGCTGTTCCGCGAGCTTTTTGGATTTAACAGCCGGCCTTACAAATTGTCTGAATAGTGAGTGGAACACCCCCCTCCCATGCACAAGCAAAGGCGACGTATTGCGCGCTTGCACCCCGCGTGGGCTATTGACTCCGTTTACAAAAGGCGGCATATGTGCGGCAAAGGTGTCCGTACCCAAATAAATTACGTCGGCCATTGTTTCCGAGTGACGAATGCTCTTGGCGCATCACTTTATTTTTTCCCCGCGTCCCCCCGTTCTCCTCCCAGACGTCTGCTATCCCCGGAATTACAAGAACGATTAACGGCGCGCTTCCAAACATGATCACCGCCGATGCCTTAGAGGAATCCGAGGTTGCGTCTTTTTCACGGCAAAAAGAATTGTGTCTAATTATGACTTAATGAATGAAGGAGATGTGTGTACAGCGGAGACTGGCGCAGAGTGGAGTTTGCTAATGCGCTAAATGTGGGATAAAGATAAAAGGTGGAAATGGGGAATTCAACTAAACGAGAGATTGGAATAGATTTTGTCTTGAGGGGAATGAAAAGTAATGCATTTTTGGACTGATATTTGCAAAGGGAAATGATCAAAACTATATGAAATACAGGCTGTACAATACGAAAATAATTAAACTAAATCTCATTGGAGGCGTTTTGGCTGAAATGTTCTAGAATATGTCATACAACAACAGCAGCGCAATTGACTTAAAGATGCACTACACAACTGTTCTGTTCTGTATCTGGTGTTTGTTTCTTTTTTGGAGCAATAAACGCCAATTTTACGCCAAACTGGGGTGCATTCCAAGCTAAGAAATAACATCTCCATGGCAACAAGCGGATAGAAGTTCAAAAAAGTTGTGCAGTGTATCTTTAAAAAGTAGACTAACTGTGGACCGGTCGGCTAAACACTAGGCCAACCATACAGGGCCGATTCCTTTTTTTGGGCCGACCACGTACGTCTCTTATGTCTGATCCATCACAGCACTAACCAGGCCCTGCTCTGCACAGCTTAGGACATTTGACAGGATCTGGCCTTTTGCATGCCAGTTAGTAACTCAAAAAATGGCAAGCTATTTAAATACAGCCGCTCAAGTGATCTACAGGTGAAACTAAGAACATTAGAATATTGATTAAAAGTTAATTTACCGTAATTCAACTTGAAATGTGAAATACATGAATCTATCACATGAAAAGTATCATCGACCAAGACTTTTTTTGTTATATTTTTTCAAATGTTAAAATTCTTGTTATGATTTATTTCGAGTTTTTACAAGCTGTGGGCCGATTCTCAACAATATAACAAATGAAGGCTTGGTATATCTCTCGCTCATGCAATGGTGTCCTATGGTAAGTTGAATGACAGAAGTAATGTCACTTTGGAAAGATCTGAGTTTTGCCTCTATTTGATTTTATGTGTACACATTTATTGGGTACACGTGTTACAAATTCGTGAAAGTGAAAGCTTCACTATTTTAATCAAATCCTTACAACTGTTGTCTGTACTGCACAAACATGAATCCAACGCCAGATAATTCCAACCCGTTCGCCGATCCACCAATCCAAGCCGCCAAGTCAAAGATCAAAATGGATCGAACGTGCCGGGTAAAGAATTATCATTGTCTGTTTGTGCGAATGATTGGTCGGCCTCCCAGCGCGCCCGAATGAAATGTTACGCGCGTCAAAGAATATAGATAGATGAACATATGAATTAGGCGTTCTCCAAGGTCAACTAGCGATTGCGTTGTTACTCTGAGTGTCAAAGTGACCCGCACACTCACTTTTTCATCATATTCCGTGCATCAAGCAAACAGCGGTGGTGGGGGCCAGACAGAGAGGGATGAAGAGGGAAGGGTGGAGAGATCCAAATTGATCGTTTGTTGCTGGTATCAGTCATAGTCAGCCGGGCCCCGTGGATGGATGTCTGTGATGGCCACCGCAGCAGGTTGGGCTTTCAAAACAAGAGAAATTGGTTGGGGGCCCTCGGGACGGGAATCAATGTGAGAGGGGCATGGAAGTGAACCCGTGTTTTTGTTGTGAAGAGGGGACGACCGCTCTGGGAGTTGTCTAAAAGTTGAGGCGACGGATTTTTGACAGCGGCGAGAGGGGTTTGGAAATGTCAGGCTATTTTTGTGAAGAGATAAACAAGGCTACAGTATGCTACAATGGTCAAGGTTGCTACAATGGTCAAGCCCTCTAAATAGCATCATGTGGTAAGACATTTGGCAGAGAAACAGTTCATAATCTGAGTTTATGTTTCTCATCCTCTTCATCCTGGATGGCCTCGCTTTAAATGATATACATTAAAGAGCATGTGGTTGTGTTCAAGTCTCTCCATGGCCCCGCATCAAAGTACACTGGCACATGTTAGTGCCCAATGAACCAACTCAGACTCGCACAGGGACAGGTCCTCCTGTAGGCCCCCCCCCCCCTATACCCACTCATCCCCCCCCCCCCCCCCCCCCCCCCCCCCCCCCCCCCCCCCCCCCCCCCCCCCCCCCGCCCCCCCCCCCCCCCCCCCCCCCCCACATCCCCCCCCCCCCCCCCCCCACCCCCCCCCCACCCCCCACCCCCCCCCCCCCCCCCAAACCCCCCCCCCCCCTGGCCCTCCTGTAGGGAGTCTGAGGAGAACATGCAGGGACTGGCCTCCTGCTGGGACTCTGAGGAGCACAGGGACTGGCCTCCTGCTGGGACTCTGAGGAGCACAGGGACTGGCCTCCTGCTGGGACTCTGAGGAGCACAGGGACTGGCCTCCTGCTGGGACTCTGAGGAGCACACGGACTGGCCTCCTGCTGGGACTCTGAGGAGCACACGGACTGGCCTCCTGCTGGGACTCTGAGGAACACACGGACTAGCTCGGGGAGTCAGCATTTCATGTGTAAGCAGCTTGAGAAGCTTCTACTATGACAATGTTGAAATCCAGATTTTGAACATTTCTGTTTTGCTGTTGATACAACTGAAGGCAAAGTCTCAATCCTAATCCTGTTAGATCTAAGTGCTGCCTTTGACACTGTCGACCATGAGATCCTCTTACAGAGACAAGAGGACTGGGTTGGCGTCGCTGGCTCCGCCCTAAGTTGGTTTAGGTCTTACCTTGAAGACAGGAAGTACTTTGTGGAGATTGGAAACTGTGTCTCAGATCATATGGCCCTGACCTGTGGAGTCCCACAGGGGTCGATCCTGGGACCACTTCTGTTCAATCTTTACATGCTGCCGTTAGGTCAGTTAATACGCAGAAACAAAGTTTCCTATCATAACTATGCAGACGACACTCAGATCTATGTCTCACTGACTGCAGGAGAACATGGACCAGTGGACTCACTCCTTCACTGTATCCAACAGATCAGCGAGTGGATGCAAAACAACTTCCTTCAGCTATACGCAGACAAAACTGAAATGATTGTCTTTGGTCCCCAGAAACAAAGAGAGAGCGTCATCTGTCATCTACAGTCTCTCTCCCTAAAACCTTCAAACAAGGTCAGAAATCTAGGGGTAATACTGGACTCAGACTTAAATTTTAATAGCCACATCAAATCAGTAACATCAGCAGCTTTTTACCATCTAAAAAACATTGCCAGGATCAAAAACATAGTGTCTAAAGCAGACCTGGAGATTCTTATCCATGCATTTGTCTCCAGTAGGTTAGACTACTGCAATGGCCTGCTCACAGGTCTGTCCAAACAGGCTGTAAAACAGCTGCAGTACATTCAAAATGCAGCAGCTCGAGTCCTGACTAGAACCAGGAAGTACGACCACATTAGTCCAGTTCTCAGGCCTCTGCACTGGCTTCCTGTGGCTCAGAGAATAGACTTTAAAACAGTGTGACATGTTAGTCCCATATGAACCAGCCCGGACTCTGAGGAGCACAGGGACTGGACTCCTGTTAGTGCCCAGAGTCAGAACTAAACATGGGGAGGCTGCTTTTCAGATTCATGCTGCTAAAATCTGGAACAATCTTCCTGAAGATGTGAGACAGGCCTCCTCTCTGACAATGTTTAAAACCAGGTTAAAAACGGTGCTGTTTAGCTGTGCATACAACTGAGGGATTTTATATTTTTATCTTTTGTTTTAATGTTCTGTAATTATTTATGATTTTAATGCATCTTGTTCAGCACTTTGAGTTGCCTTGTGTATGAATTGTGCTATACAAATAAACTTGCCTTGCCTTGCCTTGAAACATTTCATACAACTAAAATGTTTAATTTTGAATGAATGAATGTACTGTGTACTCATACTTTATTTTAATGTTTCCTTTTCCTGTTTTGTAAAGCAATGAGAGTTGCTCTGTGTATGAGTTGTGCATTACAAATAACTAGTTTTCAACTCCGTGAATTTTAGGCCTGTCACATATTTAGCTCAGGTTTTTTAGCAGCTGCCCTCACTGAGCCAATCAGCTCTCAGTGTGTAAAAGATAAACAGTTTTATAAATATAGATAAAAAACTGCATGTTGGGGTCTGATTATCTCACACAACTCTATGTTTTGACAAACGTGTTTTATGAAAACAATAATGTTCGGTATTCCAGCATTAATGCTCTGTATCGTTCTTTTGGCAGCTGTATTGTCCCTACTTATCATTCAGGCCACTTTTGCATCGTACTGATACAAGTGTTGCAGAGATGCTTTGCTGCTCCTTTGCTCTCATCATTGGGTGGTTTCCAGGGTAAATTCCAGGTCCAACCTGGACTTGAAGTTACAATGTCCCGAGGAAAAACATTGTAAACACTTTAGCGTGGTCTAAATGGTCTACATGGTTCCCCTTAATTCATTTGTGGGTTGGGGGGGGGGGTCTACCAGAGATGCGATAATAGACAACTCTTCTACTTCTCCGTTTTATATTTTACATTACAGTACTTTTATGTATTTCATGCTGTTTTATTTGTACTGCTGCACTTTGGGCGGCTGCCATTGTTGAAAATGTGCTATACAAATAAAGTTAACATTGACAATAGCTGTTTTTTTTCTTCATAATTTTAACATTCTAATCTGGGGAAACTCAAGGTTTGATCGAGTCCAATTAGGTTTTTCTAAAACTACATTATGTAAAATAATCTTTGAAACAAACACAAATGTTTTGTTTTGATTCTCTAAACATTGTCAAACACAGATGTTCGAGGTGAACCATCTTCAGTGGCCCCTGAACTGGTTTTCAATTATCACGATTCATTTGCAGCTTTGATGTAATGTGATAACATAGATACCATGGCACGTTATACTTAAACTTACACCAGTAGTGGTTTTTATTCAAATGGCTTAAAAACTGAATCTGAATTTTATCAATGAACATAGATTTACCTGACATAAAACATTTATTTTTGTTTTGTTTTGTGTTTTTTAACTGTTTATCTTTTATATTATTGTTATTACCTTGGACCTGTGTATGTTTGGATGTGTTTCTGTTATTTAAAAAAATTATAATGGGCTTTTTGCCTTAAAACCCACATTCTTTTTTGAAACCCAGCTCATCTCCATTCACACTCATCCGTCTGACATGCCTTTAATTGCAATTTTACACCAAACATCCAACAGTTTATCCATATTTTTCTCCTCACAAAAAACCTATTAGCCGCAGTTTACAGTCTCTGAGCAGTACTGGCTAGTGACTGTGAGACACTTAAACATCACTCCCCATTTATCTTCCTTTGTGTTTTTTGGCCCACCATTAAAACTCCTTTGATACTCTTCCAATCCATATCATTTTCCCACTAATGGCCGCTACAATCTCCTTCACAGTGGTGCTAATAGACTTTATTAACTGATTAGGCACTATTTTCGGGAATCAAAAAATCATAGCAGTTTAATGGGGCTATTGTGGCTTGGATAGGCTTGGAATTATTTTTTTTACTTTTTTTTGTCAGACGGTTTTTTGAACGATGATGCAACCAAGTGGAGTGTGTTCTGGTAATGAGTCATATGACAACTCCTGGGGTTTTCTCCTAACTATGCGGGCGAATGACGGCAGTCTACCCCCCATTCCCTTTGATGACCTATTAAATATTATGACGACCCCCCACTCGCGCGCACCGTAGTCTGGCTCATATCAAGATGGTGTTTAATGCCCATGAGACAAACAACAGGCAGATTAAAGCCATTACGGCCCGCTGCACTCCCACATCCAGCCTCACACAAGTGCACTTGTGATGACTTTGGGTAATAGTTCTGCAGCTTCGAACCTGTTAGGCTCCGGGAGAGAAGACTGATGGAGGCGGGGGGATGGGGTACAGTAAGGGTAAGGGTGGGCCAACTGTACTCTACACAGTGTACAGTATGTAGGCCCAGCACAAGTTACTGCATTAATTCAAGGCTGTAATTAACAAATATTTTTGATGAATCGATTTTTTGGCCAATTATTCTGTAGATTCATCCATTAGTTGTGAAAACGTATCTTTCTGAAGTTGCCAGTTTCGCTATTTCTTTACAGTTTTTCTGAACCCTGAGGCCTATGTATTGATTTGTATTGTGTCAGAGCAGATTTTATGAACTTATTATTCTACTCCATCCAGGATAAGTAGCTATAGGACGCTCATTTATTGTCTTAAAGGATTGGTAATGATTTATGGAAGCTAACAGCTAAAGTAAGCATGCCAACGTGAGCGAATGTTTGCATCCTCAGATGTTACTGATCGTTTTATTTACCAAGCTTTGATCATTATGAGTCAAGAGTTTGTTAAAACACCCCATCAACAAATGATGTTGTGTCCAGGTAAGATCGTCCTCGATGTCTTTGTTTTACTCCATCATCTTTTGGTTAAGTGTTGCATTACAACATGAACATGCGTCTTACATTCGAGTGCAGCCCACATGTGGACAGAATGGACTTTGTTTTCAGATGTAGCTGTTGCGCTTTAAACAGATGTGCCTAATGGTCCAGCAACCGGTCAATAGTTGAAGAAGGTGTTTTCATTATAACCATAAGAAACAACACAATCTCTCTTCAGTCTGAAACACATTTGTAGATTTAAAACATTTACTTTCGATTTCTGAATGTAGTAAATCATATTTATATTACAACATTATAGATACATTTGGGCGGCACAGTGGCTGAGGGGACAGCACTCCCACTTCTCAGCAAGAAGGTCGAAGATTCGAATCCCGGTTGGAGTTTGCATGTTCTCCCCGTGCCTGCGTAGGTTTCCTCCGGGTGGTCTGGTTTCCCCTACCACTAAAAACATGCCCACTAGGTAAAATCTTCCAGCTCTGGTACTCCTGACCAAGATGAGCATCAACATCTGGAGATGAGTACCCGAGCGCTGTTTCTACATCGACCACGTATGCCTTGGTGTCATCAGGATGGGTCAAATGCAGAGGATGAATTGCCCTACAGGGATAAATAAAGTGCACCTTTACCTTTTAGAAGTATAATTCTTCTATCTGCTCCTTTCTGATCATGGGAAAAGCCTTTCTGATCATGAAAAAGGACAGGACTTTTCATTTTTATTTTCAGAAGAGCCAAAAAAAAAAAAAGAGGGAACAGAAGTGTTTCTTCCCCTTTATCCGTTGCCGGGTCACAGGAGCAGCAGTCAGAGGTAAAGACTCACAGAATTCCCTACACACACACACCTCCTCCAGCCCATCCGGGGGAATTCCAAGGTGTTACCAGGCCAGCTGAGAGACCCTCCAACGTGACATGGGTCT